ACCTTCATGAAATCATCTCTGTTTGCGAAATCAACTTTTGAAAGGTTTTTGATAATGGCTTATCCATGTATAAAATGTAATACTGGCGTCAGGGTTATGAATAAACTATGAAACAACACTGGTCATACCATCAACTGATTAAGGAATAGTCGGTGTAGATGTAACTTTAGAAGAAGTATGCTGCTGGGTATGTATCTACATCAAGATTATCTGTTATTCAAACAAACATTTTCCGATGAGGCATCACGTTTGACAAGTGAACAATATTCGAAATTGTCAAAGTGATTATCATTCAGTCAACATTGCAATAAGTTTGCTACACAAGCCAAATAGTTGTGTATATTTCTAGTAAATATGTGAATGGTAATGGTGATACATTTATTTGTGTACTTGATAAAATGACGACAAATTGAATAATATTTCACTGAATAATAATCCTTCTATTTTTGAAACAAATTCTAGTTTTATTATCTACTACACTGTTCAAAGAAGAAGAAGTTCGCGTTTCCATATTTGTCAAAATGAATAAGGTTGCTGTGAGTGTGTAGTATGATGTTATAATTTGCGTATATAGCATCATTTACATCTGTGAGAAACGTTCGTTACGAAGTTGTTGATAGTCGAGTTCATTGAAAAACTATTGTGAATGAGATCAAATACAACAATAATTCCGGATACTTGCTATAAAATTATTACTGATTTCATAAAAATAATATAAGCTTCCATAATGCAAAATCGTTGTTCCTCAAAATGTTTCTACTATTTTTAACTAAGAAATAACTTAAATGAAACTTGCTACCAAATATAGGAGAAATAAAGGGAGATATTTTCACTTCACCGGACACTACATAACAAGAAATTAATGAAACGATGTCTTAACTCGTCCAAACTTAATTTTGTTAACCAAAATTTCATCTTGCATTAAAACGTAACATGACAGACAATTTAACACAATTATTTATTTATAAATTGAATTGAAGAACGGTCGAAAATAGAATTCTTCTGAACAGACGCCGGATACACGCTGCATTACTACACATTCTAAACGTGATTAACATGATGAATATCAGTAGGCTGGAAAATCGCAACTATTGCCTTATAAATATGAGCACGTTTCTTGCTCCTACTTGGTTATGTTAGAGCAACATCCTCAAGACAACAATGATTCACGTGAGTCAGTAATTGAGTTCGGTCTTTTTCGACACTAGTCAGTCTGCTTACAAATGACAATACGAACGGATATTACCACGTCATTTATTCACGCTCAAACGAGACATGCCTTTGCAAATTACATTTGTGCCTTGAAATCATAGCGTATACTTCAAACTTGTGCTATAATTTTGAAAAATGTTATGAATGATGTATCCATGAAGTCACTAAAAATACGTGTTCCAACATTTCAGACGACGTATTTGTATTCTTAAGAAATCTGTGTTTCGCTTCTAAAACTGGGTTAAAATACATTTACATGCAATCTTACCAAAATAATTCTAACAGAGTAGAATTCCTTTAACAGGGCCGTTTGTGATCTAATTCTGGTCTCAATGGCTGAAAAAAATGAGTTTTCTTGTAAGTTAGGTATATCTCAACAATTTTTCAAAGTGCAATGTCATGGAATTGTAGGTATCAACGGTATTTATCAAAAATGTTTTTCCAGAATTCGTCAGCAAAGCTCAGATTCTCTTTTCATTGTTGTTATGGTGTATATTCCTACTTATCAGTACTCACCTACGTTATCAGTTCAAACAATTGCGAAACTGAAATTGTGTCATTGTTAAGGGAAGAGCATTGAATAATCAACAATGTTACATAATCTGAATATTTTTATGTATAAACAACATCAAAATGAAGCTAGTTCAATAGATTTTTTATTTTTGCGCTTACACCAACAAATTGTTAATTGAAGATTTTCTCCTTTCACTTCCCAATCCAGCATGTCAATGATATGAGTCAATTCAAAATTTTAATGAAATGTGTCTCACGTTTTGCGATGACTGTGGAAGCCTATGATTTAACCAGTGAATACTAGTTCAACAAAATTTTCTTTAGTTATTCAGCTGTCGCATATATGAAATGCATATGGAATAACAGTAATAGATAAATCTTTTCTTGAAATAGTATTTCTTATTTTATAAAATAACGGAAGAACTACATGGAAACAAAAATAATTGACAAACGTAAAACCCAGTTGTACGGTACGGCTGATTATCAAGTTTTCCACAATTTTTCTGAGTGAATACAAAATAATGGTCGTTTCACGGTGACATTATGACGTTGTAAAAATTTGCACCTTCGCTCATTCTACAACAGGTAGTAAATCGTCGAACAGAGCAACTAGTTCAAAACATTCTGCAGATAGAATAACGTGATATGCAAAATAATGAATTGTTTGTTGAACATTAAAGATTTATGTACATATTTACAGGATTGAGTACTTTTAAAATGTGAACTGAGATTTTATTCTTTATCGGGCTCGCGGATTCACGTAGGACAGAAGTATATTTAGTCAAGGCTCACCAACTACTTGGTAATCAGGTTCATCAATTTATGCAATCTGTGTTAAGTTCGCCTTCTGGCTCATCGATTCTGTGATGGTCGAAATTTTAAATTCACATAAAATTCCTACAATGTACATCTTGATAACCGCTATTAGATAACGACGAGCGGTGTATACATCAAAAAAGAGTTGAAGACATTTTTGATTGCTTCTCAATAACCACAAAACCACAGGCGCTCGTAGCAAGAGTGAAATGGTTCACGAGTTTCGACCAACATAATTCATTACCATCAATCACAAATATGTTTGACGAAAGATTGCCTTCATAGTAAACTGCTTATCAGTACAATTTCTTCATAAACATTCGTGAATGAAACGTACGTTTGCTGCGGATCCTTAAATATTGAGCGATTGCAGAAAATTCATTTCAAGTAAATGCATTATATGAAATGCCAGATGACCGATTATTCTTTGCGTAGATGTCGAAGTAATTTTTTTATTAAAATTGATATGCATCAACGTTTCCTCCAACATCGTTTGATTCAGCGATTTTAAGCAATATATAACGAACCTGTGCATAAATGTGAGAAAAATTGTAAAATGAAAATTTTATAATATTGAAAACGACAAGTATTCACGAAAGACTGTGAATAGATTTTGATAGTAATACTAATCGTGAGTAATTAATAAGACTTCGTTCGGTAAAACGGCTGTTAAAAGTTCTAAATTCTGATGGAGGTATTTGATAACTGGTTCTGTTAATCACCACATATAAGAAAGACTTTGTTTAACCACACCAGTCTGTTATAATGAGTGTCATGCAATAATAATATGAAAAACAATATCAGAATGTATATCTCAGTCCATCATTATCATATCATAGGATGAGATTGTATCATACACTCGCAAAGCATCCCACCATTATATCGTTGGCTGATTTTGAGTCTTCAATTATCTGGTATTTCATTTATATCGGATAACAACTTACGATTACTGTCATTTCTGAATACAATATGAATACTTAGCAAAAAGGAATTTTTCGGTTAGTTACTTCGGTACATCTTGCTACAAGTCAAATAAGCGGTCATTTGATTATTCGCAATAATTATGTTTCGTGTAATGTAAGTAAAAAGAGAGCAGAAATGATTGAACCGACGACACTGAAATCAGCAGAAACAACATGCAAATTCGATTATTTGCTACTAAAAAGTATTTGATGTTGTACCGATTCTGAATCAGTCTCAAAAAACTGAAATTTCATGCACAGCATACCGTTTCTAAATGACAACTAGTAACTTGACCTGATGTCCGACAGTTGCGTTTGACTGAAACTCTGTTGTTATCTACGATTATCATTTCATCACTTGAAAATCTTCTTCTTAGCATAAGAAGTATGAGAACGTGAATGAGCGTTGCTGACGTATCCCACTGCATGAAAAAAATGACGGCATGAACTGGCTTAGAGAGCTTTGCATCATATATTCATTATTTAAATCGGACAAATCGACGATTTCATTATATATTGTTATGCCATGTTGTCATCCATTACTAATGCAGCTCGTTTGTATTGAAGTTTAAAAATTACGTTTCAATGCTATAATGTTTAACGCAGGTTCATATGACCAAACGTCCATTTCATTGGGTCAGATCAACATTCACGTTTTGTGTTAATTATGAAATTGTCGCCTTTTTACTGATCGATTCATTTTTACTCGTATTTTTATTACTGATTACTCCTACAAATATTGATGAGTGCGTGACGTTACAATTCATGTTATCATTATGTTATGGATACTGACCGTTTAATAAACCAGACACATATTCGTATCTCATATCGATCTATGCTAAACAATACGGAGGTTAGACTAGTGGTAATTTAAAATATGCGCTTCGTAAAATAAAATCGTTGTACAAGAAACAATATATATATTTTTTTTTAAATATCGGACCAGAGCATCGCATAACAATTCTCTGTAACGTGGACAATACAGTGGTTATTCTAGATGGAATTCAGAACGTCTACTTACATAATTGCAAACTGTCATTATATTTAACAAAATCAAAGGAATAAACCATACAGAAATAAGGAGTTATGATGTGTGTCAGATAAATTTTAAAGAATTTGAAATGTCTAGATGCTAACATATCGAACCTGATGGTTCTTTTAGTTTCAGGTCCTAATCTGACCACTATCTCATTCAATGAGTGTCTGAGTAAGCATGTGGTAAGTTGTTCTGACGCAATCGGGATGTCAGGGTATTTTGAAAATAATAAACTAGTTCAGATATTCTATTTGGTCGTTTATGGCAACATTATGACATTTGAATAGCCGTGTTTGATTCAAGCTTATTTCATATATTGTCCTCATGCTTGGAATACGATCCAGAAGAAAACAATCTCTGTTGGATTTAGTTGTAATGGTTGTACTACTCATGAGTAGTTGAGTGTTTACTATATAATTTGTAACTTGCATTTTATTGGTCAGTATGATCGAACAATCTAGAAGTTGTTTTCTATTGGTCGAAACATTGGCTGTTTGGTCAGCCATTTTGTTTGGCATTCTATTCGCTTGGTGTGTGGGACACGGATCGTTGTGATAATTTGTTGTTGTTGTTGTTGTTGTTGCTTAATCACATTGAATGTAAGCAACTAGTGAATTAATAATTGTTTGTTGCAGAACCACATACGATATTTATTTAAATGTTCCAAATAAATATTCCGAATACTCAAAGAGCTTTTACTTCATTGACTTCGGGTGCGTTATTCTGGTGAATCTAACGTTATGCAACGAAAATCCTACAGTTATTCAAGTGTTTTGCGTCAACAACGACAACATCTAGAAGATAGTATGCCAGATTTATCTGTTCAGTTAGAAAAGCCTGAAAGTCCTGTCTTAAGCTGCCAAAAGAGCCTACGTGAGAAGGAAATAGAAATAGAATTGGCAAAGCTAAAATTACAAGAAGTGGAAAAAAGGCTATTGTTGGAAATGCTGTTACGAGAAAGATGTCCCCAAAATTCCAGCGAAAGAGGAGACATGAGGCGCGACACCTGTCCTACAACGAATTATGTAGAAAGATTCTTCGAACTGCCAAAGCCAGAAATAAGGAGATTTGACGGAAACCAAAAGGAGTATTGGATATTCACGAAAGGGTTTCAGAAAGTTGTAGAACAAGCGACAACCGACGACGCCATACGTTCGAATTACTTAATGCAATTTTGCACAGGTAAGGCGAGAGACTCTATAGAGCATTTTACTATAATGAATGGCACAGATGGCTTTATAATGGCTAAAGATATCTTAAAAAGGAAATTTGGTCAGAATTACATGGTGGCTAGGGCCTTTATAGATGAAATAATTGACGGGCCACCAGTTAAGAACGACGACTCGGCGTCATTGGCTGACCTTAGTCAAAAAATGCAAACATGCGTCGTGACGTTAAAACAGTTAGGTTACCAGTCCGATTTAAATGCAAGCGGAACGCTAGCAGCTATTATGGCGAGGTTGCCTTCGAATCTCCGGTTTAAATGGGCGGAAACAGCGGTAGATTATATGAAACAAGACACAGAGCCTACCTTTTTAAGGACTTAGCTAGGTTTATCGAGGAACGTGTCAACATAATGTGTACGAGATATGGAGAACTCGCAGCAAATTTAAAGTCAGATAAACGAGTCCGGAACGTTGTTTCTTCTCAACCACCGAGTACAAAAAGGAACGTGTTTACATTGCAGCACTCGCCTTTAAGTCAACGTCAAGAAAGGTATTTAGTGTGTATCTTATGTAAAGACAACCACTTTCTAGACCAGTGTCCAACGTTGCTATCCCTTGAAGTATATAAAAGGTTAGATCTAATCAAGGAGAAAAGGTTATGCCGATTATGTTTAAAGGCTAAACATATAGCTAAGGATTGTAGATTGCGCAGAGGATGTACCGTGGAGGGTTGTGGTGGTAGGCGCCATACATTGTTGCATGTTACGACGGACGTCTCACCATCTAATGCGAATGTTGCTACTAATTACGTTTCAGATTCCCGAGCGGAAAATGAAGAACCTAAGGTGGCATTTGCAGTGGTCCCAGTAATTCTCCGCAATCGTGACCGTACGGTAGAAACTTTAGCATTCTTGGATAGCGGCTCTGACTCGACATTGGTACTTAAGGATATTGTCGACGATTTAAAATTACCTATGGAATATGCCCGTGTTCGGATAAAGACTATGAATGATTACAGAGAGATGCGGACAAATGCGGCACAACTAGAAGTTAGCTCATACGAATCTGATGAGTCAATTCGGATAGAAAGAGCATATGTTGTTCCCAGTTTGCCTAAGATTAAGCGAGTGGTACCAGAGGAGAAGCAGCTTCGATTGTGGCAACATCTGCAGGGAATAGACCTGAGGAGATGTGAAAGTAAGCGAATAGGACTACTGGTTGGCTGCAATGTTCCTGAAGCACATAGAAATTTAGAACAAAGGTTAGGAAGACCGGAGGAACCGTACGCGATAAAGACCATATTTGGTTGGACATTGATAGGACCCCTTGGTACTCATGTCACAAGACACATAAAGCCAAATCATCTCAGTCTCTCAGAAATTGAAAGTACTCTTGAAAGATTCTACCAGCAAGACCTGTTAGAGGAAAGTCAGTCTAAAGATAAAGATTTATCGATTGAAGATAGAACCGCACTCAGAATCATGGAGAAGTCTATCACGTTAAAGGATTGTCATTATTGTATATCACTCCCGTGGAAAGATTCACAGTTACAATGGACGGATAATAAGTCGTATTGTTTGCATCGTCTGAACGCTTTACGCAAACGACTGTGTACCTCTAAAGATTTAGCTAGACGCTATGCGGATGCAATGAAAGATTACCTTATAAAGGGATATGCAGAAATTGCGCCACCGTTAAATGATAACTCTAACGTATGGTACTTACCGCATCACCCTGTCATCCATCCAGCGAAACCAGAGAAAATTAGAATAGTATTCGATTGCGCTGCTAAGCATGAAGGACGATCATTAAACGACAGGTTACTCTCTGGTCCGGATCTTTCTAATTCGTTATTGGGTGTAATTCTTAGGTTTAGACAAGAAAGGGTAGCAGTAATGGCTGACATCGAAGCAATGTTCCACCAGGTTAAAGTACCCGAATGCGATAGAGACGCTCTGCGTTTTTTATGGTGGACGAACGGAGATTTTACTGACAGCCCTGAAGAACTTCGCATGACAGTCCACCTATTTGAAGCAACCTCTTCTCCTAGTTGCGCTACGTTTGCTCTTAATCGTACCATCAAAGATAACAAGGAAAACTATGACAAGGAAGTTTACGACATGGCTACACGTAGTTTCTACGTAGACGATTGTTTAATTAGTACTCCCAATACTGAAACAAGTTATCGAGTAGCAACTCAGTTGAAAGATATGTTATCAAAAGGTGGATTCAACTTGACTAAGTGGATTACTAATGATTCAACATTAGCTCAGCTGCTACCTGAGTTTAATTGTATCGGGCCATGTGTACACATCGGGCACGGCGATCATACCACTTGTCGAGCTTTGGGCATAAGTTGGAATATAAGCGATGATACCTTTCGTTTTTATGTCGGGATGGTAAATGAACCTGTTACACGTCGTAATGTATGGTCATTTGTCGCCTCCATATTCGATCCCATGGGTTACCTAGCACCTGTTATTCTCCCAGTGAAACTTATCCTTCAGAAACTATGCAAAATGAAATTTTCTTGGGATGATTTAATAGTCGGAGAAGAACTAAAGGTTTGGAGAAAATGGCAAGGAAGACTTACTCATATAGAAAAGATAGTTTTGCCTCGGTCATTAAATGCAGCCGAATGTAATGGAATCGAACTACATATGTTCAGCGGTGCCTCTAATAATGGATACGGAGCAGCAGGGTATTTGCTACTACTGAAACAGCAAAGTGTTAAAGAATGTCGACTGATATTCGCTAAAGCTAAAGTAGCACCTATTAGAGCTACGAGTATACCACGTTTAGAATTGGCGGCAGCAGTCTTGTCTGTGAAAATCTCCAAGTTTATCCGAACAGAGATGACTGTTACCATACTCAAAACAGTTTATTGGACTGACTCTCTCGTCGTACTCCATAGCATAAACAATGCTTCCAAGAGATTCCTTACGTTTTTTGCTAACAGGTTGGTCTATATACAGGAACAGACGAGGCCATCAGACTGGTGTTACGTTAGTTCTAAGCTCAACCCAGCGGATCTGCTTTCCCGAGGGTTCATGGTAAACCAAGAACGAAAATTAAAACGATGGCTTAGTGGTCTAACATTTTTATTGCAGGGATATGTTCAGGAGGAACCACACCAGCACACTAATGCATGCTCCTATATAAACTATATGTTGTCAAATAAAGATTTATATCCAATCGAGAATCAACCTACGTTTCTGAGTCGATTCGAAGCTGTGAATTCATGGATGAAATTACAACGAATGATAGCTTGGCTTCTACGTTATAAACATCTCTTGACGAACAAATTAACTAACCAACAAAACCTCACAGTCGCAGAGTTAAGAGCGGCTGAGCTCAACATTATCCGATTGGCGCAGAAGGAATGTTTCAATGATGTATTTAAGCTGTTGAATCACGTCACGGTGGTGACGAGTGAGAAGGAGGTCGACCGAACAATTAAAGTAGCATTATGCAAGTCTTCAAGCCCATCACGTCATTTGAAACCAATTACAGTTAATGGAGTAATAAGAGTTGGTGGGCGCTTACAACAATCAGGTCTACCCTTTGAAGTAAGGCATCCGATTATACTACCGCATAATCATTTTATTACCCGTTTAATTATTAGACATTATCATGAAGCGAATGGACATATGGGAGTAAACTTTCTGATTTCAACAATCCGTGAAAGATATTGAATCATTAAAGCAGTGAAAACCATCAAGTCAGTTCTCAATAATTGCTATAAGTGTCTTAAGTGGTTCTCTCAACCTTGTAAACAGGCTATGGCACCCCTACCAGAAGATCGTTTCATGTACCACTGTAATCCATTTACTGTGACAGGTGTCGATTATTATGGACCACTATTTGTGAAGCGTGGACGGACCGTGGAAAAGAGATACGGATGCTTGTTCACTTGCTTCAGCTCAAGAGCGGTTCATCTAGAAATATCTAATACCCTAGACACCGATTCTTTCCTTTGTGTCTTTAGCCGATTCGCGGCACGTAGGGGCTAACAACAACGCCTGTATAGTGACAACGGCAGCAACTATAAAGGTGCAGAAAGGGCAATAAAGTGTTTAATGAGAGCTTGAAACCAAGAAAAAATATCGAAAAACCTTGCCGCTCACAATTGTGATTGGATATTTAACCCTCCAAAGGCTTATCATCGAGGAGGAATATGGGAGCGAATCATCAAAACTATTAAAAGAATATTAGTAGTTGTTCTCGACGAACAACCGGTCACCGATGAGGTATTACATACGACTCTAGTGGAGATAGAGAGGATTTTAAACAACCGGCCTATAGTGAAGATGGTAGAAGATGTCGATGGCATACAAGCGCTTTCACCTAGCATGTTACTATTGCCTAGAGCAAGCGAACCAGCTAGCATCGATGAAAAGGACTATACAACAAAGTACAATAGAAGATGGCGACAAACATTGTACTTGGTCGATCTCTTTTGGAAAAGGTGGTTGAAGCTATATATCCCAATACTACAGTTAACGCAACGATGGCACGATCCTAAGCCTAATTTGAAGGTTGGGGACTCAGTGTTGATGATAGAGTCTGCACGATCGAGAGGGCAATGGCCGAAGGCGGTCGTCACAGATATACAGGAGGGTACCGACGGCTTAGTTCGGAACGTAACGTTAAGAACAGCTAACGAGATAGTGAGAAGAGATGTACGGCAGTTATGCAAGTTAGAAAGTGAAGTTGAAGAATCACAGAACCTGAACAATTAGAAACATCCCAGGATTCTTCAACCTCAGGGGGCAGTGTTGGATTTAGTTGTAATGGTTGTACTACTCATGAGTAGTTGAGTGTTTACTATATAATTTGTAACTTGCATTTTATTGGTCAGTATGATCGAACAATCTAGAAGTTGTTTTCTATTGGTCGAAACATTGGCTGTTTGGTCAGCCATTTTGTTTGGCATTCTATTCGCTTGGTGTGTGGGACACGGATCGTTGTGATAATTTGTTGTTGTTGTTGTTGTTGCTTAATCACCTTGAATGTAAGCAACTACTACTACTACTTTCGCCTGTTACCCCCAATGGAGCATAGGCCGAGCACCAGTTTTCTCCAACCAACTCTGTCCTGGGCTTCCCTCTCCAGTTCTGTCCAATGTTTGTTCATTCCTCTCATATCTTTCTCTATTTCTCGGCGTAGTGTGTTCCTTGGCCTTCCTCTTTTCCTTTTGCCTTGAGGGTTCCATGTGAGGGCTTGTCTAGTGACGCAGTTAGGTGCTTTTCGCAGTGTATGTCCTATCCATTTCCACCGCTTCTTCCTGATTTCCTCCTCCATTGGAATCTGACTTGTTCTCTCCCACAGTTCGTTGTTGCTGATGGTGTCTGGCCAACAAATACGAAGTATTTTGCGTAGACAACTGTTCATAAACACTTATATCTTCTGGAAAATGGCTTTCGTAGTTCTGCAAGTTTCCGCTCCATACAGTAGAACTGTCTTCACATTTGTATTGAAAATCCTGATTTTGGTTTTGGTTGTAAGTTGTTTGGAGTTCCAGATAGTTTTCAACTGCAGAATGGCAGTCCTTGCTTTGCCAATCCGCGCCCTCACATCTGCATCCGATCTACCTTTCTCGTCGATGATGCTGCCAAGATATGTGAAGGTGTTAACGTCCTCCAAGGTATCTCCATCAAGCGTGATTCGGTTGGTGCATGTTGCGTTGCATCGGAGAATTTTGCTTTTTCCTTTATCTATGTTGAGACCTACCTACGAAGTCCTTCATTCTGTTTAACAATACTCTGTTAAAGACTTTGCCTGGTATTGAAAGAAGAGTGATGCCTCTGTAGTTTTCACACTTGCTGAGATCGCCTTTCTTTGGTATTTTGATCAGGTATCCTTCTTTCCAATCTGATGGTACTTGTTCCTCATCCCAAATCTTCTTGAAGAGAATGTGGAATATTTTCGCAGTTGCTTCCACATCTGCTTTCATTGCCTCTGCTGGAATGTTGTCTGGTCCTGCTGCTTTGCCGTTCTTGATTTGTCTGATGGCTATACTGATCTCCTCAATCGTAGGTGCGCCAATATTAATTGGGAGGTCCGTGGATGCTGCTTCGATGTTTGGTGGGTTCAGTGGAGCTGGTCGATTCAATAGTTCCTTAAAGTGCTCTACCCACCTATTTCGCTGTTCGTCAGTGTTGCTGATTATTTTCCCTTCCTTGCTTTTCACTGGTCGTTCTGGTTTACGATAGTTTCCGGCGAGCTTCTTTGTAGTTTCGTACAATTGTCTCAAGTTTCCGTCTCTTGCAGCCTTTTCCGCCGTCATTGCTAGATAATCCACATATTTTCGTTTGTCAGCTCTGATGCTCTTCTTCACTTCACTGTTTGCTTCTGTATACTCGGCTTGCGCCTTAACTTTCTCTGCTCTTGTTCGGCTGACATTAACTGCTGCCTTCTTGTTCCTCCTTTCTTCAATTTTTTCAAGAGTACCAACAGAGATCCATTCCTTGTGATGGTGCTTCTTGCGACCAAGGACCTCCTGACATGTTGAAGTGATTGCCTCCTTAATCCCTTTCCAATTGTTCTCCAATGTTGCTTCCTCTCCATTGAGTAGATCCTGAAAGGCCTGGAACCTATTGTTGATGGCTATCTTGAATTCGTTGAGTTTTACGGTATCCCGAAGAAAGGCCGTATTAAACTTCTGTGATGTTGTCTGCCCCGCTGTCCAGTGCTTCTTTAGCTTCAATCTCATTTTGGCGATCAGCAAGTGGTGATCTGAAGCTATATCAGCTCCTCTCTTGGTTCTCACATCCTCCATGGTCCTTCTGAACTTTTTGTTGATACAGATATGGTCAATTTGGTTTTGAGTAGTGTGGTCCGGTGAAATCCATGTGGCTTTGTGAATGCGTTTGTGCGGGAATATTGTGCCACCGATGACCAGTTTGTTGAAGGCACATAGGTTTGCAAATTTCTCACCGTTTTCGTTCCTTTCTCCCAGTCCATGTCGTCCCATGATGTCTTCATATCCAGTGTTGTCCATTCCAACCTTGGCATTCAGATCTCCCATAAGAATCGTCAAATCCTTTGGTGAACATTTATCGACGACTGACTGCAGCCTTTCGTAGAATTTATCTTTAACGTCGTCATTGTAGTCATTGGTAGGTGCATAACATTGGATGACGTTCATTGTAATGTCATGTTTCTTTGTTTTGAAGGATGCTTTAATGATCCTGGGTCCATGAGATTCCCATCCTATTAGTGCCTTTTGTGCATGTTTGGACAGCATCAGTGCAACTCCTTGTGTATGTGAAGCGTTTTCCTCTTCATGACCAGAGTATAACAGCAGTTCCCCTGAAGCTAGTCTCAGTTGTCCTACCTGTGTCTAATGTGTTTCACTGATGCCGAGCACCTCGAGGTTGTATCTTTTCATTTCTGCCGCAACTTGAAATAGTCTTCCAGTCTCCCACAATGTACGAACGTTCCATGTACCTAAAAAAATGGTTGCTCTGGTTGTCAGAAGAGGCATCGGCCCCGTGACTTCCGAGGGGACTCGGCTTTCATCACGAGACGTCATAATTCTTCTTCCAACTCCCAGGGCAGAGTTAAAATGGTTTGAATTATTTTTTCTGGTTAGCGTTTTTTTGGCAAGTTAGATTTCAACGGAATGGGGCCGCCAACCCCATGTCCAACCCTCCTCCTTTATCCGGGCTTGGGACCGGCAGTAGCCCCTGAGGTTCTACTGGCGGAGTTATGTAAGCAACTAGTGAATTAATAATTGTTTGTTGCAGAACCACATACGATATTTATTCAAATGTTCCAAATAAATATTCCGAATACTCAAAGAGCTTTTACTTCATTGACTTCGGGTGCGTTATTCTGGTGAATCTAACGTTATGTAACGAAAATCCTACAATCTCACACCACGAAATTTCGGAATTTCAGTGTCCCTGCGTTGATAAATTTATATTTAGAACAACACATTTAAGCTGACAACATTGTTTTCGATTAGATCGTCATCAGACACAATTGTACTATACATGAATATTTGTATGAAAATCTTCAAGTAATCACGGCACTTTGAGTGATAATCACAATAGAATGAAAAAGTTTACGCGACTACATATAACAGGCAAAAATTCAAGTGGATAGAAGGAAGACAGGTGTACTGATAGCAGTAAGAAAATTTAGAAATATCATAACTAAGGTTTTATCAATAGTAGGTCGAAGAAGGATAAACAGACTTCGAATAAACAATAGAAACATCAAAACCATTACGTAATAAGCCAATATGTAAAAATAAAAATAAAATAAGATAAAAAAATTTATAATGTCAATCGCTAGGCACGTAAATATGTTGTAATTCCTAAACCTTTGGCTTAGTCTGGCCTCTAACAAATTGTATTTCTTCAACCATGATAACTAACATAATTTTAATACTGAAATGATAGTTTCATTCATTTCATGATCGACAGATGAGTTGAATTTACTTTCAATCAGTTCTCGTCACTTTGACATCCTCAGATCAAGTAAGCTATTAGTGTTCGTTTCATTGCAGTAAGACAATTCCGTTCATAGTGTTTAAACATATTATCAACTATTTTGGTCACAATCCAGCTAGGGATAATATACTATTTTGTTATTGATGCGGATATTAAATTTGGATAATGCATGATGCCGATATTACTGTGATCAAACTTGATATTTACAATTATTCTACAATTATTATGTGAATCACAACGTAACAATTGTGTGATGGATAAAGAAATGGAAATATTGAATTCCATGATTAGAAAATAAACCTTCACCAAATTGTATTACTGTGATATTACTGATATCTTTCACAATTCATGGACTATGGTAAGATAATATTGTGATGATTTGAATTCGACAATGGATTCATTCAGTAGGGAGAACATGACGGGTTTAGTCAGTGCATGTGTATCACGTAGGACACAATTGTTAGAGGAAAAAGCTGTGAAAAACTTGATAATCAGCCGTCTACTATACAATCTGATGTCACGGTTGTCAATTATTTTGTTGTATTGTTCTACTCTAATTATATAAAATAGAAACTACAATTTCAAGGAAATATTTATCTATTACTGTTATTCCATGTGCATTTCATATATGCGACAGCTGAATAACTAAAGAAAATTTTGTTGAACTAGTATTCACTGGTTAAATCATAGGCTTCCACAGTCATCGCAAAACGTGAGACACATTTCATTAAAATTTTGAATTGACTCGTATCATTGACATGCTGGATTAGGAAGTGAAAGGAGAAAATCTTCAATTAACAATTTGTTGGTGTAAGCGCAAAAATAAAAAATCTATTGAACTAGCTTCATTTTGATGTTGTTTATACATAAAAATATTCAGATTATGTAACATTGTTGATTATTCAATGCTCTTCCCTTAACAATGGCACACTTTCAGTTCCGCAATTGTTTGAACTGATAACGTAGGTGAGTACTGATAAGTAGGAATATACACCATAACAACAATGAAAAGAGAATCTGAGCTTTGCTGACGAATTCTGGAAAAACATTTTTGATAAATACCGTTGATACCTACAATTCCATGACATTGCACTTTGAAAAATTGTTGAGATATACCTAACTTACAAGAAAACTCATTTTTTTCAGCCATTGAGACCAGAATTAGATCACAAACGGCCCTGTTAAAGGAATTCTACTCTGTTAGAATTATTTTGGTAAGATTGCATGTAAATGTATTTTAACCCAGTTTTAGAAGCGAAACACAGATTTCTTAAGAATACAAATACGTCGTCTGAAATGTTGGAACACGTATTTTTAGTGACTTCATGGATACATCATTCATAACATTTTTCAAAATTATAGCACAAGTTTGAAGTATACGCTATGATTTCAAGGCACAAATGTAATTTGCAAAGGCATGTCTCGTTTGAGCGTGAATAAATGACGTGGTAATATCCGTTCGTATTGTCATTTGTAAGCAGACTGACTAGTGTCGAAAAAGACCGAACTCAATTACTGACTCACGTGAATCATTGT